ATATATATATATATATATATATAGGGTGCGGTTCCAATGAGAACGATGCTTAACGTGAGAACGTGAGAACACTCACATTTAAAACAATGTGATGCACAATGGAGCTCTTTTGTTGCACATTTTCAATTTGCTCGATTTAAGCCTATATTAAATAAACACGGTGGCATTTTGGTGATTATTGTGAAAACATGAAAAAGTGCAATATACAAGCTTCATTGTGCAACACGTTGGGGTAAATGTGGTGTTCTCACGTTAAGCATTGTTCTCATTTGATCTTTATTCTATATATATATATATATATATATATATATATATATATATATATATATATATATATAGCATTACCACTGTTTGTCCCTATTTCATCCAACAATCTAACAATATATAGAGAGTAGAGAAGAAAACAACTTTGATTTAATACCAAACAAAGATTTCGAACTTTAGAATATGGGTATCGAGAAACACAGGCTGCGGCTCTCTCTCTCTCACTAAAATGATATGCACTGAATAATCTGAAAAGGTCCTCACTGCACAAGTGCACATTCTCTTAAAGGCAGTATTTATATGCCTAGAGAATGTGCTAATGTGACCTAAGCATGATTGAGCTCTTTAACGACTTGGCCTAATTTCACACTTTTCAACATTTCCTAATAAAGCTAGTCTACTAATACGGAGTAGCTTACAAGAGAGCTAATGGGCTGATATACAAGTTGGGGTCCATATTACACATTTAATTAATAACTACACAAACACAAACATATTTAACTAGATTGGACATCATAAATATTCCTAACAACCACTGTCCCAATTTTTTGTCACACTAACTATAGATAATGATTTTAACGATTATATATGCATATATTTTATAAATTTTATACCTTTATGAAAATATTCCGTCCCCTTTTAAATGTCCCGTTTTACCATATTGGGATGTCCCTATTTAATTGTCCCATACCTTATTTGGTAAAGTTTGTGTGGCTCAAAATCATTCTTACTTTATTTTTACTTTATCAATTAATATCAACCACACAAACTCACTTTTCTTAAAACTTGTGCCACCCTCTTCTGTCCCAATATAAAAGGGACGGAGGTAGTATTAGTAAAAGTTGACTATAATTGATTAAAAAAAGTTAATTTGACAAATCTTTTTTGGATAGAGGGGGTAGAACATAAACAATAAATGTTCTTTTATCTCTTGCACGACATGGGTTCAAATATAATACTAGATAGTCAATTTATATCTTTTGATTCTAAATTGAACTGAACAACTTCGGATAAATTATATCTACCTAGTAAAATAGTCTAACTTTTGTTTTAACATATTTAAACATTTAACTTACCAAAAGGATAACATGAATATGCACTGAAGAGTGCTAAATGAATATTTGTTAAATACTTTTTTCGCCCTTTATAACTTTGTCATCTTTATTTTTGTTGTTGTTTTAAAGATTGTCATTTTATCTTCTAATCAATTATTTTGTGGTTGATGTTATTCATTTCTCAATCACACGGTTTATACTTTATTATTTTTCGTGCTGATCAAACTTGGCAAAGTTATAAAAATAGAGAGTACTATCCTTATGTTTAAGTAACTTAAGGTCTCAGTGAATCATATGACTGTAATTCTATTATCAAAATATACTTGTAAAATAAATTTGTAGTGAAATGTTGTTTCAGAAGGTACATTTTCTTTCATTTTTACTCATATCCATTATAGATTTATAGGTGATGAAAATTAAAATGTTGAGAACTCGAGGTGTGGATATTTTACGTATTATATATACATGAGTAAATCGATAGTTGAGCTTATTAGAAGCAGATTACTAATCATTGAGATTAATATTCTCATTATTTTCTTTAAAAAATGGGTAAAACGTGAGCATGATAGCATGACAAATATGGAACATGGTATTTGATATTCTGATGAAAGTTTATATTTTGTCAAATAAATGTTAGTTTCATATGTCTTTACGTTATTTTACTTTATCCTCCGATGAATTACATACCAAATTAAATTAGCGTCTTGATTAAATTGCAAATCATTTAAGTGTCATTTGACTTTAACATGCACTATAACAATTATTTCTTAAATCAATGTTAATCATAATTAATCACTTATTATTTAAGTATAGAAGGCGGAAAAAAGGGATTTCATTTGGATGAAACTTAATTGAGTTTTGTGTAATAATGAACCAATTAGAGATCAAATTTCAATACCAATATACTTATTTGGTTGTTCATTCTTTTTAGATAATATGAAGCGGCAGTGGCATTTTCAAATATGTTTTTCTATGTACTACTACGTATAATAACTCTAAGGGAACGTTCCCAAAATGGGACTAAAAAAGTTTGAAAATTCCAAAATAGGACTGTCATGTTTTTATTCCCAAAATAGGACTAATTACTGCCAAATTTGGAAAATACTGCCATGTTTGAAGTCTGATACTGCCAAAACATGACAGTAATTAGTCCTATTTTGGGAATAAAAACATGGAAGTCCTATTTTGGAATTTCCAAACTTTTTTAGTCTCATTTTGGGTAATATCTCTAACTCTAAAAGTAATACTACGTAACATATTTTACCCCGTGCACGACACGGATAAAAATACTAGTACAAGTACAATTAAGATAATTGAATAGATATGTGACACTTCATTGAGTAAGAGTCTTTGTATACAAAAAATATTAAAGAAAGAAAACTTGATGCATTTGGAATAGAGAATTAAGGGGGAAATAATTTAGGATCACAAGTTTGAATCACAACTTATATGGACTTTGAAACTCTTTTCAATAGAATCACAAGTTTGCTTAATTGAGAGTCTTTGTCTAGAGACATAAACACAAAGAGCTTTCGTGTGTTGCTAGTATATTATATATATATATATATATATATATATATATAGAGAGAGTAATCTTCCGGTCAGGAATTTCCTGACCGGAGCGCCGTCCGGCCTCCTCCATTTGGGCGCCAGGAAGGCCCCCAAATGGAGGAGGCCGGACGGGGCTCCTGTCCGGAAATTCCGGAAAGGAATAATCCTGTACACACACACACACACACACACACACACGCACACACACACGCACGCATGCACGCGCGCGCGCACACACACACACACACACCAGGGGGCGTCTGGGGGAGGGGGTCTGGGGGGCCTAGATTAAACTGGACTGAAACTCACTCCATTGAGTTTCGAACCCGAGACCTCCCATAAGGGAGAGTGAGTCGGCGACCAGCTAAGCTGGACCGCTTCCTCTGTTAGTATATTATATTAAATATAATAGAGTTCATCAAAATTATATTATAAAACGGTTTGATCTGGGTACCCGTTTTTTCAAATTTCAAGACCCTTTCGATTCCTAAGTTTTTAAAGACCCGCCCTACCCCAAACCGTTTGAGTTTTCCAAAATTAGGACCCGAGTCACCCGACCCTAACCCGCCCCGAACCTGTATTACCCGGCCCGACTCGTGGTTCCTGTACCCGTCTGCCCACCCCTAGTGAAAATAATGAATTTGTGGTTCAATTTGTTTTTGTTTTGGCTGTACAAACCTCAATCACACATTTTTTTATTATTCTAATTTCACACCAACATAAATTGACAAAATTGAGTGAGTCGGAGTTAGTACAAAATAAAAAGGGAAATTTGCTCTAAATCGGAGTAAATATGTTTTGAAATTCCAAAATAGGAATGCTATTTTTTCTTCTTCCCAAAATAGGAGTTAATACTGTCATGATTGAAAAATACTGTCATGATTGAAACATATTGTCACCAATGATAGTAAATGTTGTCATGCATGTTTGATGTCTTATACTTTAACTATTTGACAATAATGACTACAAGATGACAGTAAATATTGTCAGGTTACTCTTATTTCGGGAAGAAAAACACAACAATCCTACTTTGAGAATTTTTCCAATAAAAAGGATAGACCGCTTTTAAACAATACATGAGTTGAATGTTACATATGTAGCTTAGCTAAATGATGCGCCGGAGTTTAATTAAGAATAATAGAGTTATAGGGTTGATATATTTTATATACGTCATATACATCATGAATTTCACGTAAGTGATAAGTGAATTAGATGTCACTTTTAAAATTTTAATATATACAAAATATTACGCATCAAATTTTAGTATTTTCAAGTTTAAATAATGCTAATTTTCTGGAATTCACAACTTTTTACTCGTAATGACTAACGTGAGTCATTACATATGAAACCGAAGGTATTTCAGTTCTCTATATTCTTGAATTTCAAATTATATCCACCCACATAATACATACTATCTCACAAATACAGAGTATTATAAAAGTTTCTAAACTATATTGATAACAATCAAAAACATTAATCGTACAATTTTTTTCATCTAAAAAAGTTTTTGTAAGTTTGTTGATATGCTACTTAAACAACTCTGCATTAGCTCAATACATATTGTCAAGTACATTGTGGTTTGATAAAATCAGTGCTGATCTCTTAAAGAGGGGGTCACATGTTCGAATCTCATCCCAATCAGAAATGTTGATATTATCATGAGCAATATACTATAGTAAGTTTAATTTTATTTTTGCTGTAATAAGTTTATAAGGATATTCCAGAAAAAACTCCTTTTTATTATAACCTCTTCAAGACATGTAAAAAGTCAAAATTATGAGATTGCTCCATTAGTGTAGAAAAAGTGAAATAATATGACTATAATTTGTAGCTTAAAACTAAAAATAATGATATCGAGAATATGAAAAATAAAAAAGAAATAATTACATAAACATGTCTAAAATATATAGCGACTATAGTAATAACTTAGTCATAGAAATTTATGTTCAAAGTTTACACTTAAGTTTCTGTTGAGGTTTATTCCTTCAACCCTTGGACCCAACACGTAAGCCCAAAGATTTCGAGTGGAGTGAGTGTATGAGTGTCTGGCCCAACAACTATGAGATGGATCAGGAAACAAAAGTAATAGCAGGCAATGTAAATAGGTATTATTAACTTCGTAATAACTCCCCTAAGTACAATCTACTTGCTAAAAAGGGCACGTCGGCCGTTCGTCTTACAAGGCAGTAGAGATGCTCCGAGTAAGAATACAATGGCTAAATGCTAAGAATAGAAAGTTGCCAACCCTTTACAATGAAATAAATGCTTCTATTTATACCCACCAATGGGCAGGTGGCTGTACTGACGTGGCAGCCTGTGGACCGCTGGTGTCCCAACTACCAAATCTTCAGCATTAAATGCACTTCCCGCCAGAATCTAGGTTTCCCGCCTGATTAGTGGGGACGTTCGTCCTCCCGGGAAGTGAGTTGGATTCTTCCGAGTGACCCTCGAAAGATATCGGCTGTTCGTCCCCTGGCCTTGTAGATATTCACCATGTGAACTGGGCCCCCTCCGATGGCTACAGGCTTGTCCCGGAGACGTTCGTCGCCATCCCTGGTGGCCCGTGGTCCTGCTCCTTGTCCCTGCACAAACGTTCGTCGGGATGAGTCTGCTGGGCCTGAGCCCCCAACACCGGACGTTCGTCCATCCTCAAGGGTCATGGGCCTGTGGGCTGGCCTGGTGTTCTAACTGATCGTGCGTCTGGCAATATGGGTTAGTGGGCCGGACCTCGGCTTGGGCCCTTAACCCAACAGTTTCTATGCTATCAAACTATAGTAACTATTAGTCATATTTTTGTACATAAATTTCATTTCACTAATATTTTTGAAAAACCTCAATAAAAATATTTATTACATATATGATCACATTTACTAAAAATATGAGTCTACTAATTAAGAGCTTATACAACATAGCCAGAGCAACTTCAAGAAATAAATTCCACATTTTATGACAAGTACAAATTGCCTCTGCCCATTTCAAGGGTCAGGAAATCAAGAGTTATGACCCATTTGGTAAGGTCGGTTGTTTTTTCGCAAAACTCAGTTGTGTGTAAGAAGGAAACTCTCCTTCTGTTAGAGATTTGGAGTTGGTGTCTTCTTAAGAGTTGTAGAACTCGACGAGACGCATCCGATGCTTCTTGGATCGAAGGATTTGGATCATCCGGTAGGAAGTTATGGATGAAATGGTATGTTAACGTGCACACACGAAAAGTGACACCCGAGATCTCATTGCCCACTTGAGAAAAGTGACATCTGAGATCTCAGTGCCCACTCGAGAAAAGTGACACCCGAGATCTCATTGCTCACTCGAGAACTTGGCATCCGAGATCTCGTTTCTCACTCAAGAACTTGGCACTTGAGATCTCATTTCACACAAGAGAACATGACACCCGAGATATGCTTGCACACTCGAGAACGTGTCACCCGATAATTGCTTTGCACACTCGATAACCTTGACTCGGGTACCTTGGGCGACCCGAATGCCAATGCATAACCTGAATAACTAATGGGCGATCCGAAAGTCCCAATTGAAGGTAAGTATAAGGTAAGCATGCATTTAATTCTTGTATTATCATGTATAATTCATAATTCTGTCATTGTCAAAAGATCTGTTTTATGCTTTCGTTGCGCTACTTTCGAGGTACTTTACATAAATTTCCAAATACATTCTTCTCTTTATATGAAGAATGACTCAAGCTATTCAAATTTCAAACACCTTGAGTTTGAGTAATAAACACCTTGAGGGCTCTTTTAGTAGTTTACACTATAAATCTTTTGCACACAAAATAATTCCATGCAAAATAGATTATTTGACATACAAAGGGGTTGTTTTACATTGTTTGACTAGATGTACAAATTGTTTTTAATTTGCATACAAAGGGGTTTCAATGCTTTATAAAAAGCATGCAAATTGTTTTATCACCCTCCCCCACATAAAACACTTTACATGGAACAGTGCGAAACGTTTTTAAAAAGTGTCATACAATTTACATTAAATAATCAAGCCAAACAGAGTAAACTTTTTACCCCCTTACACTTCGAATGCAAAGTAATTATTTTACATCCTACCAAACACCCTAAGAGTTTGAATAGTAGATGCAATCTATTTTGATTTTCTTAAGGATTATTAGCTTATTTTATCCCAAACTATCATCAAATTCACAAATTTATTCTATTCTTTCACTTTTATCCAAGAAAGTCTCAAACTGAATATTTTTCAAGAGTTATGCTTTTCTTTTTGTTTTTCATAATTACACATTTTTATCAATAATACCAATATGAAATAAGCAATACAAGTTTGTAAACTTAAAACTATAAAGAAGTGAAAAAATGTGAAATATAAAGTTTGAGTCTTTCTTATTTTGTTAAAAGTGAAAACTTGGGATATATTTGTGAATTTGATTATAAGTGGGGATATTTTTAGCTAATAATCCTTATCTTAAAAATAATTATCAAATCTAGAAAACGCCCCCAACTGATGTTCTCATAAGTCAAAACAACTTTTCTTGACTGGTTAAGGCTTTAAATTGCTAAAAAGAACTATCGAGCTACATTGTAAACACAAGGCAATGCCCGGAAGCATGAAATGGGAAATGCAATGTTGCTTGAAGCGTTATTGCAAGTCTGTAAAGTTTCTAAAATGCTGAAATATTGTTTTATAATAAGAGGTTTTGAGTCTGCTTTGCACATACCCAGCAAGAGCCGGCAGAAATAACCCGACCTTTCCACCCCTGCAGGATCCAATGACCGTCTTCTGTAAAAAAGAAGTCCTTGTGATATCCTTCCCTCAGAATGCCCATGAACTTCTTCACAAGTTTAGGGTTTATGGGCATGGGTTTGAAGGCGGCCCTAATAAAGCGAGAGTGCCATTGCTTGTATGTGTTAGGCCTCAACAGTCTTTGCGTGCCCTCACATGCAACGACATTCATTATTCCGCGTCCCATAAATTGTTGTTCAAAATTCGACCTCTCATGACCACGGTTTGGAAAAATAACATCAAGTAGATCAAAGATACCAGAGTAGTAAAAGAGAGCCTCCCGAAACCGAGTGAGAAAGAAAGGAGAGTTGTGAGCTCCACTACGCCCAAATTGCACAAACATATCTGGATTTAATTCTCGGATTAAGTTTAGAACTGCATCCTTGGGACTGTCCCCAACAACTATTGTTTCATCTGATAGGTGCTCAAATCGATCAATACAGTTAACAACAATCACCTCACCCTTCACAAGCTTGAAGTCACCAATTTTAAGTGTCTCCCAATTCAAGGCGGTTATAGAATTGTACTCAAATGGTACACCGAAACGCTCACAATATTTCGCCAAGCGACGACCAGTCTCTTCTACCATTTGTGATGGGCGAAAACCAGGTTGAGGAAGCTCAATCCCTGTTATTCGAAGTTTTGGAGGGCCACCAGGTCTTTGTGAGAGATCCCGAATAAGAGTGGGCCATCGGATACCGTTAAGTATACCAAAATCTATAACATGCAGTGTTGCACATTTTGATGCTACTTCGTAAATGACGTTATTTGCAAAGAAAATTGTTAATCTCATAAATGGCACAGATGACATGTAGGATTTTTGCAACTCGGACACCACAGTGTGATTAGGATATAAAGCCGCATACAGCTCTGTCCCAGTTCCAGTCAACCGTGCCTCCAGACCATCAGCAAATATGTTAGCCAGCCTTTGGTTTGCATCGCCGGTAGGCGAAGAGTGCTGCCTAATTTTTTTTAATGCATCTTTTGCATCCCTATAATCACCAGCAGCTATGTATTCGGCGCAGCTGATCAAAAGAGCCTCTATATCCACAATTTCACAGCGATCTCCTCTTTTCTTTGAATGACTCTTGCGTCCGCTTCGCCCTTTCAATTGTGTGCGGCCGACTCTAGATGAAGAGTCATGATCATCAGTACACAACAAAACCTTATCAAACACCTGTGATAAGTCATCCTCCTCCTTATGGATGGCAGAGTGTTTGCTTTTCCTTTCTTTGTCGAACAAACTCTCGTCTAGATAGTAATGCTTCTTTCCTCTACCAGAATCAGATGATTGGTCCTTCTCTATATTGAGAGGACCACCTCTATCCTCTCAAGGCAATCGAAAGTTACTAGCTTCCTTCACACCTCTCTCGAAATTAATGGTGGGCTGGGTATGTTCATCACAAAATATATTTGGAACCGAATCAAGACTGCCAAGGCTCCATAAAGAATCAGCTGATTGGTCCTTATCTATATTGACATGACCACCTCTATCCTCTGGAGGTAATCGGAGGTTATTAGCTTCCTTCACACCTCTCTCTGAGTTCATGGTGGACTCGGTATGTTCATCACAAAATATATTTGGAACCGAATCAAGACTACCAAGGCTGCATAAAGCACCACTTAGCCCATCAAAGCAAGACTGGCTTGATGACGATGAGATGGGGACACTGGGAGGATCGCATTTGACAAATGATTTAGATACAATGCAATCAAAACCATAGTTCCAATCAGATGTCACTAATGATTTAGATGCAATGTAATCAACACCACAGTTCCAATCAGATGTCACTAATGACTTAGATGCAGTGGAATCAACACCACAGTTCCAATCAGATGTCACTAATGACTTAGATGCAATGGAATCAACACCACAGTTCCAATCAGATGCCACAAATGATTTAGATACAATGGAGTCAACACCATAGTCCCAATCAGATGTCACAATTGATTTAGATTCAAGGTGACCAACATCATCGCTGGAGCTCCCAAACGTGATGTCTAAGGTTCCAGAATTACAGCGAGAAGGAGAGGAAGGGTTACCACGCAAGGCTTCATAAAAGGACTTCTGAGTAGCTCTAAGATTAGAGAGATTGAAGAACATGTTTTGATTGTCCCCATCAATGCTATCCTCCTCAAGTAGAATCTGGTTAATGTAGTCGAGCACGGGATCGGAGTTCAAAGCAGGAGCACTAGTAACAAGAGCATGCGTATCATTGCTGTCCGGAACGTCCACTGACTGTTGAAAGGTAGAAGAAATGATGTCATTCTCCAACTCGAATCTGTTTATAGAGGAGCCAGGCAGACTTCTGAACCTATGTTCCATAACCTTGTGTGGCAAGATACCTACACTGGCCTGTACATGGAAGATGGGTAAACAGACAAATAAACATCTACAATAATAACGATAATGAACTGAATCAAGAGGTCGAATCATTGTAAAGAAAGATTTTATAGCTATGGCTGCATAAATTAGGGTTCATGTACAAAGACACCAATTTCTAAACACGGATAATGGAATAAAGTCTGAATTAATCAGTATAAACAAAATAAAATACTAGAACAATCAGTGAGTGCACTTATATTTTGCACCACTTATTAGCTCTGATTCCTCTGAACCATTTCCCACCACAAATATCAGTATTAGTGTGTACCTTAAGAGCCCGTTTGGAGAACTCTGTTTTCGGCTTATCAGGTTTATCAGCCAGCTTTTTCAGCAAACACGTAACTTTTACTTTCGCGCGCTGAATTGTGTAATAAGCCGAAAAAGTAAGGTTGAAGTTACTTTTCTGGCTGTATTGGCTGAAGTTACTGTAGAGGACTATTTTAGCTATTTTTACATATAATTTTTTCTTTAATTTATTAATAAAATATATTTTTAAAATATTTTTTTCTTAAATCAGCAGAATCAGCCAAAACAGCCACTCCAGCCAGAATATCATAAATTTCAGCAGAATCAGCCAAAACAGCCGATTTTGGTGCTACCAAACGGGCTCTAAGATTTGAGGCAAGAGAAGGTGTTTTGATGCTTTGGAGGGAACTTTGAAATAGATAGATAGATGCCTCATTTTTTTCACAAGTTCTTTTTTCTGTCGACTCTGGTTAATTATACACGGAGTTTATCATTATTTTGTGAACAATTTCTTTACGTATACATCAGTAGTGGACCTGGGAGTAATGGCGGAAAGAAGAAGAAGGGACTGGAGACGTTTATGAGCCTTCTGACCCCTAAAAAGATAAGTCCCGCGATATTTATGAGCCTGTATATAGGGAGCAGAGTATGTATGTTATGGTATCCGTTTTGAGGGACATAGTTTCAGCTGAATCGTCCGGAATGGATGGTGAATATAACTATGGCGGATGAGGTGGTGTGGCTCCCACCATAGCTCTGAGGAGGGAGAAGCTGTCCCATTTACAGGCCGGTGGTTAAATCGTGTGATTCATCGTTTGGTGTCGGTATGATCTTCAAATAAGATCGAAATAAGATGTTGTAAAATCATGATTATTCATCGTCCCTTACCACTTTGGATGGAGTGTGGGTACTTGTGAGTACCAGAAGTGTCATCAAGTGTTCACAGCGGCCCAAGAGGAATGATAAGTGTTAGGTGTTAAGCATAAATTAATCTCGTTTGAAGGAGTTAAAAAAGTGAAGCATTAGTAAAAGAAGTGTTTTCACTTAATTTCTCTCTAGGGGTGTAAATGAGCCAAGCTCGAATCTTGACCTGAGCTCGAATCAAGCTCGAGCCGAGCTCGGCTCGAGATCGAACTCGAATTATTTAACTCGTCCAAGCTCGAGATCGAGCTCGAGATCGTGAATTCTTATCAAGCTCAAGCTCAAGCATACCCATGCTCGGGCTCGGCTTGTTTGCACCCCTATTTCTCTCCCAAACAAGTGTTAATGAAACACTTATTAACACTTCCAGTCTTCCATTACTTACACCTCCTAACACTTCATCCAAAGAGACCGTTAAAAGGAAGTTTGACCGGCACAAAAATTTTGTGGTTGAGATTTGTGAAAAAAGAGAGATTATCTAGAACCACAAATTCCTTACTTGAAAAAGAAAGTTATCGACCAAGTTAGCGGAACAACCAATTCAAAAAAGAAAATTTGATAAAATTTTAAGGGACAGTAGAATTAAGTTTAATACTTTTCATTAATTTGTTATTGCCAACAAATCTATCTAGAGATTCATAAATTAGATGACTCATCATCAAACTCATCTACTATAAATATTGCTTAACTATCACTTGTAAAATCATTCAGAAAAATTTCATATTAAGAATATAATACTAAATTATCTATGAGAATATTCCCTAAATAGGTGTACAAAAGTTTTGAAATTTCTAAATAGAACTATCATGTTTTTATTTTGTAAATAGGAATAATTTCTGCCAAGCTTGACATTATCAGACATTAAACATGACAGTTTCTGCCAAGTTTTTTCCAAACTTGGTAGAAATTACTCTTATTTAGGGAATAAAAACATGAAGATCCTGTTTTGTAATTTCAAAATGTTTAATTTTTACTCCTATTTAGGTAAATTTCTAATTATCGATCTTCATAAATTCTACCCTATATCTCCTTTTTTCTATTACATGTAATCAACACGAATCTGCTCAAAGTCCAAGAAATCATCACCTCATGCAAGTATAAACATAATTATAGTTATATTCCTTCCCCTTTAATTAATTTTCTAAACAAAACAAAATTATATTGAAAGTTGGAAAAGTATACTACCTCCATCCCAAATTGTTTTGCAAAGTCAATATTTTTGATCAATCAATGTTAAAGTTAAATCGTTTCTATTGATAATTAATTAAATTTTAATAATAAAAATTTAAATATTCAGAAATTACATTAAAACCTCTATAAAATTGCAAAATCCAAATTAAAATTTAATTAAGAATTGATATCCTAATTAAATGAATAAAATAACTCTCTTTAACCCAAAAAGACAATTTTACATACAAATCAACATAGAATGGAGGAAGTATTATATTATTACGTGATTGCACAAAATTAGAATAATATTCGTTTACAGACTGTTACTTCGAAAATATATATTCTCACATATGTAGCTTTAAAAGTGTATCATAAGTAACACTAGTATCTTTACCCGTGCCGTGCACGGGATAAAATGCTTTTTTTGTCTTACTATATATGTAGGTATGCGCACCGACATATGTATGGTTTATTATAACTAACGAAAATCGCATATTTAGTCGATTATAACTAACGGAAATCAGTTATTTAGTCGATTATAACATTGGTTGATAATGCAAATTCTTTTAACTGATCTAATACATGTTTGTTCTATGTGTACCTTGAAACTGTCGAATTCTGACTTGGTTTGATCTAATCTTCCTTGATCCGTTCTATGTGTAGTTTTGGTCTATATAAGACATTTAGGTTTCAGATTTTCATGGCAACGGTACATAAATGAAAGAATTATTTAAGTACATTAGTTCGGGTTATAATGCTATTGTTTTAACTTACATCAATTATATCTTCAAGAGAGATTGAGATCTATTAGAATATAATGTGATATCATCCGAAAATTCTACAATGTGTGCACGTTGCCTTTTGAGAAAGTCGATACCTGAATTTGTATTAAGAAAACATCAAAGATTTATGTTGCAAGAAATGTTTGGGCATTCCATGTTTGGGGTTCAGTAATATTAGTTTCAAATTTTTTGATACTCACCCCGTGTCATGAAATTCTTCTGGATTTGACTTGGATCGGAGTTTAAGAAAGTGAGAATAAAGTGAAAATGTATAGTTGTGTTTGAGTAGGAAAAAAATAAATTGATGCTAGGCACACAAAGCTTTCCAAAAAGGAAAATGTGATAAAAATTTGGGAGCTTCCAAAAAGGTAAGTGAGAAGAATTTTAAAGAACGTGGAAAGTATTTGATTTGAAGAATGCATATATTTATCGATTAAAATATGACAGTATATTAAAATAATTGAGTATGAGCAATGTTTAATATGTAATTGATATGTCACTGATATATCTCTAAGTTATAGACTTATATATAGTATGATCCATACAATAAATTATGAAGATTTGAGTTTTCAAGTATAGTGATATCATTAAAGTTGTATGGGTGTAGCTTAAAAGTAAGGAAATGATTATTATACCTATAGGGCTATAGGCTAAGCAATTCTACTGTAACTCAAGAATCTCATTGAGAAGTTGGTGATGACTTGGAGGTATTAAACATATCTTACTTAGGGAATTGCTTTATGTGCCCCTAGATTCACTAAATCTAACCCTTGTAAGAAAAAATTTCCTTTTTTTTCTTTTACTAAAAGTGTTTCTCATAACATTTTAGCGAGTTTGTTTCTTAGTCTTTAATTTTCTTTTTGGTATTTTTCCATTTGTATTTTATGGGTCAGGTTTTATGCCCCCAATACTTTTATTTTCTCACTTGCTATTTTGTCTCATGTATTTAGAGAAGGTATGTCTTTTTGGGAGAGGTTTGGCCTAGTCCCCCTCTCCTCTTGTACTTTTACTTTTTATCTAATAAAACTCAATAAATGTTCTCTGACATTTATCTCACCAATGAATGGTTAGCTTATCGGGTTAAAAAAATAGCGACCCACCCTCCCCCCAAAATAATGCTAAATGAAAATTTGATTACTTCATCCAAAAATTGGATGTTATTCACAAACGAAGCTAGCAAACTTCAAGCTGAAAATCACTTCATGGGAGCCGCCAAACAAAAAACTCTCTATATTTTGTTCACTAAGTCTAGTTTACTCATACCAAATTTCAGCTAACAATTCAATCGGGAAGCCATTCAAATGAATTCTTGAAGATAACTGCGCAGTTATCTTCAAGAATTCATTTGAATGCCTTCCCGATTGACGTTTTAGCTGAAATTTGGTATGAGTAAACTAGACTTAGGATGTTTTTATTTGGACTGTAATTTGCCCCAGACCAGACCAGACCAGACCAGTCCAGACCAGACCAGACCAGTTCAGACCAGACCAGACCAGACCAGACTTGGATAGTTATAAAAATACAAATAAACCAGACCTTACCAGACCAGACCAGACCAGTTCAGACCAGACCAGACCAGATCAGACCAGACCAGACCAGACCAGCAAATTACAGTCCAAGTAAAAACATCCTTACTGAATAAGATGCTCAAAAACATTTATCAAAAAATTCCACCGGAAACCACCCCAAATGGCGAAGGCCGGTCAGAGCCTCATATATAAGGCCTTATTTGACCTTTTCAGGTTAGTATGTGGGCATGTGGCCTTATTTGCCCCTTTTCTCTATTATATTTGATACGACACCAATATTGTATATGTACAAATAAATTAATTTTTAACATGTTGCAATAAGGGGATATTTTATTTATTGGTTGAAAGTACCAATAAGGGAAATTAAGTTCTAAAATATTAATTTAAAACCAACTTAAATAGAATCAACAAAAATGCTCAGTTAATGGCTTTCTCTCTTAAAAATAAAAAAACACAAAGGACGCTACAAAATTCCCTTTTTTTATATTTGTTATAACTTATTTTATTTATAATAAGGATTTACAAAAAAATGTATCAAATTTCATAAATTATTATATCTTTCGTATGACACGAATATGGCATATATAAAAATAAAAATCTAAATATATAGTTGATAGATGGAGGTTCTTAGGCTCCAAATCTTTCTCAAGTGGATTCAATTTCTAAAATTTAGTGGATCATAAGCGTTTTCTATTGACACTTTCAGGAAATAAATAAAATGCATCCATCAATCGTATGTTTGGATTTATTTTAGACTTATATATACAATATTGGTGTCATATGAAAGATAATTATAAACTATGAATTTCGGTACATTTTTTGTAAAAATTAAATTAAAAATATAAAAAGTTATAGCAATTTATTTTTATTTAAAGTTGGGGGTTCTAAACATGCTAGCATCTACTTTCTTCTAACTTGCTACTTTATGATTTCTAATTTTTAAGAAATTCTTAACTGGGTTGTTTTGTTAATTCAATTGCATTATCTCTAATGCATAACCTTTTTAAAAATCTATGTGGCATTATGAGGTCGTTCACATTCTTTTAATGAGC